GATCTGGTTGTTATTGACAACATAATCTTCTCTTATGGCGCTTGCAAGAAGATTGAAAGCAAAATGATGAGTCAACTGGTAAAAGGATAATAGACTCATCAGGTAATTAGAAGAATCTGATGAATGTTATTCTTGAAATATGTTAGTTGAGAGCTACGTATCTCCTCAAGGTGATTCCTAGACAAGGCTTAAGAAGAATGATGTAGAAGAATCAACAAGAATCATTAGAAAGCATAAAGTCTTATTTGCGAAAGGTTAATTCTTTATGAGTATGGGATGTTTTGAACAAACATACTTGGTCTACCGTTGACTTTCTCAATATTGCTCATTAGGAACTCTTTCATGTAAAGAAGTGAGACTGCTCATGTCACAATTATAAAGCATAAAGACTTCAAGATGAAGTATGCTGAAGATGTTATAAATCATGACTGCAGAAGATAATCAGAAGCTTTCTATTTAAATGGAAGCTTATAACAACTTGTCAAGCATGCAGAAGATCCAAAGTAAAGCCTCTCATGAAGAACTAGAGATATAAGCTAAACAGTATATAATTGTTTATGCTTCAATTCGTCAGAAGCTGAAGAGATCAAGATAAGAAGATGTAGAGATAAGCCTGATGGAAAAAGAAGTCACTTGCTACAAGTGAAATAAGTTATGTCATGTCAGATAAGTCTATCTTGACTTCAAAAGGACAAAGCCTAAGAAGAAAGTATGAAATGCTTAAAGAAAAAGACTAAAGAATACACGAGATGTTTCTATGTCCTAAGAAGACATCAAAGAAGAAGAACGAACTAACATAGCATTCTCAACTAATGTTAGAACTTCTGATGCAGAAGGTATCTCTAGAAGATAAAGTATTTTCTTATGCAATATAAACTATCTTTAATGAAGACGCTCTCAATGGTACAGTCAAAACACTGGACATGTTATCAGGATTTTGACTGTCTACACAGAATGAAGACATCTACTTCAGTTATGGAAAACTTTGTAGATTACTGAAATAATCAGAAACAAAGATCATAAAGTTGTCAAAAGTTTGGAAGAACAACACATGCAAGATCCGATTTTCTGAGTTCTCATCGTATGTGTTTTCATAAAGAGAAATATTTGCAGCATAGACAATTAAGTCGTGTTAGCTTGAGAAAGGTATCTGAGTTGATCAAGCTTAAGCTTGTCAGAATGTTATCCAAAGTTTATTTTCAAGAGCTCCTGATATATGGATGTATCCTTCTGTATTCACTACTTTCTGGACTCATGTGACTGAGTGAAAGTATGAGCTTAAGAAGCTATCTGGTGAAAAGAAGATTTTGATGTTCTAGTTCTTCACTATCAGATACAGATGATTAAAGATAGAACAAGCTTGGAAAAAATGAATTAAATCATGATGTATGAGAAATCATCATGACAAAGCATCTCTAGAAAGCAACTAGCATGTATATTCAGAACATAATCTGATTATAATTTATTCTGATGCATATTGGTTAGATTGCCCTAAATATCCAAAGGATACTAAAGTACCTCCATCAGAAATTAAATTAATGTTGGATTTGATAATGAGCTTGGAAGTCAAAAACTAAAGCTTAGTGAAAGAATACAAAGCTATAAGCTATCTTCTCTGAATGAAGTTATTGATGAAGATCAGAATGAAGAAATCAGAAGATGCTCAATCAGAAACCATCGCAGTTCATTTACTCCCTAAGAAAGGAATGAACATAAGTTGCCACTTTCTATGAACTGATTCTAGATGCAAAGGCTTAGCTAGTAAGAACAAGATTATCATTCAAACCCTCTAAGAAATATGTCTTGGTTTGATGATCATGATGATATCTGCATCTGGTGAAGATTAGCATTTGTTTAAAGATTAAACTCTGATGATGCAAGAGGAAATTCAACAAGTTCTCTTAGCACATAATTTTTCAAAAGTATATGCTAAGTACTGAGAAACTAATGGCTTTCCGAGAACTAACCTTCTTGAAGATTAAAGATATTTGATCTCAAGATAAAGACTAGAGAAATAACTTGGTTCTTCTCCAACGATCAGAGATGAAACAAACATCAGGAGAGATGTTTTCATCTGTCAGAATGGAAGCTTATGAAGTCATGAAGATGATCGTGTCTCTACACAAGGTTCAAGGACTCTCATGAAGAATCCAAAAGGAAGAAAGCTCTATAAATCGAGTTCAAAGAAGAAACTAATCTAGTGGTCTAGCTAGAAGTTCTCGTCAACAAAGTCATCAACTACAGAAGTTTAACGCATGGTAATTCTGAAGAAGCATCTACAATCGCGGTTGGGATTCTACAAGAGGATTGTGAGTAATGTATTTCTAACCCTTTTGTTTAATTTAAACACTTTAGAAATCTATTCTTATATTCTAGAACTACAATTTTTGAGAATTCAGAAGGATAATATTTTCTAAAAACTTTCCGATTCAGTCTCTCTTATGACTGGAATCTTTCTTCAAAATTCCTACTGAAGTTAAACTTAATCTCATTCTACATGTGAACATAGTTTATTATTCAGAATAAAATAAGCATCTCAGAATTTATACTTCTTGAGAATAAAAATATATTTCGTAAACATGATGCGTAGGAATCGTGCTTTTGAAATTAAAATCTTTTGACTAGTAAAGTTCTCATATTTCATAAGTAACCAAGTTAAAACATATGCTTGCTGATCAATGCTTTTAACCCTTGAAAACTAATAAGTATAATTCATTTATTAGCCATAATGATATAGAGACTTAGTACGTCAACAAGACTTTTGTTTTATATGTACCATACCTCGTATTTTATGGGACAACTCGGGTGGTGAGAAAATCTTGGATATAGGAATTAAAATCATTTCGCCTTACCCCGGTTAGACTTTCTATATTCATTCACTTTAGAGTATCTTCTCTGTTTCTTTTTGAAGGTAGTGCTTACATAACTCTTCCGTCTCTTACTCTTATTTGGGGTGTTCCTAATTACCACCTTTATCACATCTGTTTATGAAATAGCAGCAGTCAATATTTTTAGCTAAATCATTAATTGTGCGTGTCCTGAGTCTCTCCATCTCCTTTGATCATCATCCTTAACTCTTAATCTTCCGTCCCTCTATTTGTAATCCTTATTCATCAGCTCTATCCACTCCCCCTTGTTCTCTAAATTGTACATTTCCTTCATATTTTTCATCTCCCTCTTCCCTCTTATTTTTTTTCTTCCTCCTCATCCATCATGTCATCGAAAACCATTAAGGGAGAGATTTCTGATTTAGATCTTTTGAAAGAATATACTATTGATTTCAAAGCTCTATTGGAAATGGCCTTTCTAAAATCCTCTCAGATATCTACTACTAGAACTGGGATAAATACTTTGAAATGCTCTCTAGACCCATCTATTCGGAACTTGTAAAGGAATTTTGGGCCAATGCTCGCGTTCTTCAATATGAGTCTGATGCTTGTATTATCCTGTCTATTGTCTATGGTTTTCCTATTATGATTAACTACACAATCATCTCTCAAGCTACTGAGTGTAAGAAAGATGGAAAAAACGTTGAAAAATAAAGAGGAAACAACCTTTTTGCTAAACATGTTCACATCATCTATGGTCACGAAGGACCAGTTGTGAGTCCCTTTACTCCCACCTCTATGGCAAAGGTCTGGTACCAAATCATGAGAAAAATCTTAGGCCTAGAGAAAAGGGAACAAGATGACTCTCTACAATGGATAGGCTTTTCATTCTTTTCTTACTCTCCAAGATTAAGATTAATTTGCGTCAATCCATGTTCAACTATCTGAAAGAAGAAATTCTTTCATCTAGAAAGGAGTTACCGTTTCAGATTCCTTTCAGTAGAGTCATTTCTCATATTCTTGATCTACAAGGAGTTGTTACTCACATAAAGGAAACTGGAATGACTGAAAAATTTGTTCCTGATTGGTGCTCACCTATGAACTATTCTAAAACCACCAATAATCAATAAAATAGCATTGATTAAGAATATATTTCTGAATATGATTGGTGTTTCTCTTTGAGGGGATTGATTTTTTTGTTCTGAATGGAAGGGAGCTTACAAACTTGACTTCTTAGACTTTACAGATAGGATTTAAGGAGAGCTTAGAAACCTCCTCTCAAAGACTATTTGACACAGGGAGAGCTTACAAACCTCAAATCTTAAAGAGTTGTTGAATCTTAGAACTTCTAAGTCTTTAGTTATTTTTAGTCTTCTTATAGTTTTTAGTCGTTTCGTGGATCTCCTTGTAATTTTTCTTTTCAATTTAAATTTCGTTTTATGCCTTATTTAATTCTTTGTCAATTTCTTTTCTATACCTTTTCTCTACATGTTTTCTCATCCTTGGAGACTGATAACTTGGTAAAAAAGAAACCTCATCATTCACTGAAATAGAAGAGGAAAGTTGAAAGTTCTCTTTTGACATTACAATGGAGATCTTCTATATAAAGAAAGATAAAAAGGAGTTAGTTACCAACGCTAACCAGCTATATTCTAAAAGTAGTAAGAACCATAACTAATTTTGTAAATAATCAACTAATTACAAACTAACTATTACAAAGCATGAAATTGGAACTTGACTAGCAAATAATATAACTTCACTAACATGTAGCATGTTATTAACATTATCAATACAAATATGACCAATACTAATTACATAGTTGTTCTGGTATACCCTAAATTTTTGGAAAACAAGAACAATGATAGTTTATATACTACACTCATATTTCTCATTTACAATGTGACATGTTTGATGTTGTATATCACAGAAGTTGAAGTTTAAAAAACTAATACAAAAATAAATTAAATCAGTAAAGATGAGAACGTTCTGTTAGAGTGACAAGAATAAAAAATCTGAAGTTATAAATATTCACAATCACAATAGCATCCTAAAAAGAAGAGAAATCGAAAGGTGCCAAATTGAAATGCGTAAGTAGCTTACAATATATGAACAATAATACACATGTTGTATTCTTCTAGACAAGAGACATATTAAAAACAACACTTGAATCAATCAAGAAGGGGCAACAGGAATCCTTTCATCAGAAAAAATGCTCCTAGTAAAGTGAAAAACAGATGAAGACATAGGTAACTCCTCGAGTTCATCGAAATAATCAAGTTCTTCTGATTTGGATTCTGATAAACTCTTTAACTGTGCTGCATAGCACAGTGGTTTTTCCTCCAAAACAAGACCTATGTGGTGTTTTTCCATGTTTAGTTTGAAAGGATCTTCTATTGGAGATTGTAAGTAATGAAAATTTTCTTCATTTGTAACTTGATCATTGGTCACAGGTCTCTTAGAATGATCCATTTCCTGTTCTACATGTTTTTGGTTTTCTTCCTTGGAAGTGATTGGGAGATTTTGGATTGTTTCGGTTTCAGATTCTTTTGGTTGTCGAGCTGAATTTGTGGCAGAGACGGAAGCAGAATCTGGATGGTTGTGTGTTGAAGTATAGGTGACGATTAGCATTGATGAATCTGTGCTACTTCTCTCTACTTGCTTTTTGGCTGAACAGCCTTTGGATGTGCTGCATCTATAATATCCCCTGCAGATTTTATACCAACATTTAACAAACTGTTCTAAGAAGCATCGACACAGACACGACAAACACATAGACACAGATAATAACTGACGGGGTTGGTTTGAGAGCTAAGAAGCATTGACACAGACACGACAAACAGGATTGGTTTGAGAGCTAAAAAGCATTGATACAGACACGACAAACACATAAACACAGATAATAACTGACAGGATCGATTTGAGAGCATATAAGCCGGACTACCACCTATGGCATAAAATTTATCACAGTTTAATCATAGATAAATAAAATCTCGAAAAATATTTATTATTTTTATATTATAATTAAATAGGATCTCTAATTATTTTGTCTTGATTGAAACATATGATAATTAATGAATCTAGTCCAGTTTTGAGACAAAATAGATGAATTATTCAATAAATTTAAAATTAAATATTTGTTTATAATAGTGATTAGAGCTTAGAGTACATCATGATAAAAATAAAAAATAAAAAAAAGTTCATAAAAGAAAAAATCATGATGATATCTAATGGAAAGAATGTACATGCCTTGGATATGGAGAGCCTTTGATTGGCTTTTGTCCATATTTCCTCCATGACCATAAATCTGAAGGAAGTCCTTCATTCTTCACCTTGCTAGCATTCTCTCCAATCCTCACACTCACAACCCTTTTCTGAATCATTTTCCTATGACATGCAAAACCATATATAAAACATGCAACCTATAACTTTACCAAAAACCACATGAAACTCACCTTTTCTTGGATGCTTGAGATTCTGGTTTAACCTCTAAAGATGTTTCACCTGAATCAACTTGAGGGGATGCATTATTGTCCATCTCTTGCTTTCTTCAAGCTTGATCTGAGATATTTATTATTTAGATTTAAGAGGAAAATATTAAATATTGGATAGAGAAAATGAATAGAGTAGCTAGGGAGAAGGAGAATGAAGAGATAATGGCAAAGTTGTCAAGTGGTTATGCATTTTATTTTCATTCATTTAATATAAAGCAGTGAACAACTACGCACGTATCAATGCTATCAGTCCCAGCAACCCCACCTTGTAATATAATAATAATAATAACATGATCAAGTCTATGTCATTAAATTATTTGCTTGTACTTAATAAATATAGGATATTGTTGTTTAATAACTTCACCAAAAATCAAAAGGATAAGTTTTGTTCCTAAACACTTTCAAATATTTATAATGGTGTGCGATTGGTTGGCTATATTTATATAATGAATTGTGAGAAACAAAAAGTTAGCATTTAAGCACTATCTTAAATTATAAATCACTTTTTAAAAAAAATTATTTTACATTTTTAATACAATATTAATGATATTTCCTTTAATATATTCTAAATATTTATTATTATTTTCGGATAAAATATTAAATAAATCATTTTAAAATGATTATCAAAATAATCATGTTTCAAAATGAATTATAACAAATGCACCACTTCAAATGACATATGTATTTAAAATAAAACAAAAACGGTCATTTAAAATGACTCATACATGTATCTAGAGTCATGTACAGTGACACATATATTTAGGCATGAAGTGCATGCGTCATTTTAAATAGCACATCTTTTGTTGACACATCTCTTTAGCAAAGTCTTTTCAATCTTCATAACTCTATTGGGCATCTACTCTTTGTTGATGCCGGTCACCCAAACACGTCGGAGGGTCTAGAATATTTGGTTGCATGCGGAACTGTAGTTTCACTCGGTCACTCTGGTGCATCTTCACTGTAGTAAATCTAATGATTGGTGTTTTTAATGTCCATACTACAACATCATCGGGGATAGCCTGATGGTCATGACCCAGATACGACCGCTATATAAATTGCATAATAAAAATACATAATGAGAAGATTTGTAGTACGTTAATTTTTAAGCCAAATTTATAGTTGTTTAGTTGTAATACATCGTCTGTCTAAGGTGGTCTAAAAGATTGTGATACATGACTATAACGTGTCTGGGACATCGGTTGTAATTCATTACCCGAACTAACCATCTAAAACAAAAATATATAAAATTTATTAGTTACAATAAACTTTATAGATTGAAAATTTATAAGTTACAATAGACTTTTGAAATTTTAAAATAAACTTACTTGTTTGTGTAGGGGAATGTGAATGGCTTCGTGTTGACCGGGGCGAGTGTCGGCATTCTTGAGCAACCCCATGCTTGTAGAAAAAAGGTGCAAGATTAAAGTTTAGAAGTATCTTTTTTTTTTTTTTCATTTTTACACAACAAACTATATAGATAGGACAAAATAGTTAAACCTCAACTATATGTGCCTACTTTATTTATGTTTCTTAACAACGATAAATACGTAATATTTACCGTATTATCAGTACTTTCAAGAAATAAAAAATGACCAAATAAAATCATAATATAACACCGAGTTTTAAATATCTTTTCATACTCGGTCGATTCGTCGCTTAATGTTAAACTAGAATAATGTTCTTTAAGGTATTTTAAATTAATATCGTGATCCCTAGGTTGACCCGAAGATTGTCCCGTAGTTGTGTCTTCACACAGAGGAGCACTCAACAAATCTTCACATATAGTATTATCCAGGTTATATTTACCGTTAACAGTCTTACCATTGATACATAGACCCAATAACATATACACATCGTCTAGTGTGATAGTGCATTCAACGAATGGAAGGTGAAATGTGTGGGTCTCGGGTCTCCATCTTTCTAGCAAAGCAAGAATAAATTTATAATCAATAGAGTATGAGACTATGTTGAGTACATTACCGAAACCGCATGATCGTAGGTATGGTTCTATGATTAGGTCGTGTGGTACATATTCATGATGACATTGAAATCTCAACGCTCTGACAAAAGATATAATGAAAATTAGTAAGAAAAAGTAATAAACTATACTTTTAGGAAAATTAAATTAGATATAAAGAAACTTACAAATTCCGTAATATTGCCAATGGTTCTTCGATGTTCATCACTCATAGCGTTCATCATCGCAAACTCATCTCTCAGTTAATATGCGATGAAATTTTATTTGTCATTAGTGACAATTCGTTGTTAAAGGTGAGTATAATAATCTCGCATATCGTTACACGATACAATTATACTCCCTCGTACAAGAAAGTATGGATAGCTAGGACTAAGGCGGTCGAAACAGCGTTCAAAAATTAGGAGGAGTTGTACAAATAACTTCCAAAAATTTTGGTGGCACTTAAGCATTATGCTCTAGGGATTGTTGTCATTTTGGAGACCTTGTCAGCACATACCCCGGACAGGACTTGTGTTAGTGAAAATGACATATTTCACCGACTCTTCTGAGCGTTTGAACCATGCATCAAAGGTTTTTCCTTCTGTAAACCTATTATACAAATTGATGGAACTTGGTTATATATGAAATATAAAGGAATGTTACTCATAGCAGTCGCACAAGACGACAACAACAACATTTTTCCAATCGCCTTCACTCTAGTTGAAGGGGAGATTGCTGGTGGATGGAGTTTTTTTCCTAACTTATGTTTGATTTCGGACATACGCACATCAATTGAGAATGCATATAAAAATCTCGATAACGGCTGGCAGGATTCTCCATCAACATATGTTATTGCATTAGACACATCGCTAAAAATTTCATGCGGGAGATCAAAGACAAGACGTTGTGGAAGAAGATTGTGAATGCAGAGTATGCATTAACAGAACCTTCATTCAAACACTACCGCAAAGACATCAGATTGACAAATGCAAATGCAGTAAGGTGGATCAACAATATTCCATTGGAGAAGTGGACCAAGGCATACGACAATGGACAACAATGGGGCCACATGACAACAAATCTCATGGAATCAATGAACTTTGTCTTCAAAGGCGTCAAAAACCTACCGATAACCGCTTTGATGAAGGTAACCTATTTTAGGCTCAAATCACTTTTTGATATCAGACGTTTAAAATGGAGTTCTATCTTACCATCTGGGCAACTGTTTAGTGATAGTTCAATGAAATTCATTAAGGAGGAAGCTACCAAAGCTAACACACATGTGGTCACAGTGTTTGACCGTAATAAAGGTTGGTTCAGTGTTGCCGAGTCAATGGATCACAATGAAGGGAGGCCAAGGGGATCCTATCGAGTGGAACTAGATAAAAGTTGGTGCGACTGCGGAAAGTTTCAAGCCTTTCGTATGCCTTGCTCCCATGTCATAGCGGCATGTTCAAAGGCTCGCCAGGACCCTTCCAACTTATTGTTCGCTGTTTACCAAGTGCTAAAAGAAAGCAACGTCTACAACACTAGCTTTTCGATGGTAGAATAAGATGACTATTGGCATGTATATGAATGGGATATATTTTGGCACAATGAAATTATGAGAAGAAAGAAAAAAGGCTGCCATAACAGCACGCATATTCGTACCAAAATGGATACAACAAACAAAATGGTGACACAATCGTATAAACCATCTAAATGTTGGACCAAACACAATGTCGCTACGTGAAAATTGACACAGAGTCACCATCAAATTTTATTTTTTCCAAGAGGAAAGGGAAAATAACGATAAAACCCCCTAAAGGTGGAAAATGGTCTCGCAACCAAATTTGGGTTCGAAAGTCGGTTATGTGAGGGGAAGGTATTAGCACCCCCTCACATCCATCATACTCGATGGGAACCATTTAAGTTGTCTAAGATCGAATGGATATTCTAATCTAAAATTCTACTTGCTAAAGGGAAAGAGGGTTGGTTTTTTTATTAGGGTACTCGCCAAGGATTAGGGCTCTTGTGCCTACGTATCCTCATTGTGAGGAATCATAGCATCCGTAGTTCGTGAGACTACGGTGTGTTGGTGTTTTTTATGGACGATGCTAACATTCACGTTCTAGCAGTTAGGTGTATTGTTGCTCGCTTGGTGGAGTCTTATGCGTTACCTATATTGCGGTAGAATGAAAATAACATGCCCTTTCTGAAAAGGTTTAAGAGGGAATCCCGAAGGACAAAATGATTTGGATTTGTTGAAGTGTTTTTGTTAGGGTTTTGAAAAGAAGTTGTTCTTGATTAATATTGCACTAGAGGCTACGGGTAGAGGTGAATATTTCAAACTACCAAGGTGAACGTCTTGTGCTCAAAATATTCGGAGCGAGTGCAGAAAGCTCCATTCTCACTCTTTCTCCACCACTTAAGGCTCATGGCGCACAATCCTAATTGTATTATTAAGTTTTTTTTGGATTTTTTTATGCAAGAAAGGTGTTTTGATGCAAAAAGAATGAAAATATAGGGGAACTAAATCCTAAATGTTATCATGCAAAGTGGTCCTAAAGTTGAGGATGGAGGGATATTCTACCCTAAAGTTGTTATGCTTGGATTGAAAGCCTAATGTCTATCCTACTTCAAACTTAATCAAAAATTAAGTTGAACTAGGAATCCCTAAGGGAACATGCAATTGAATCCCTAAAGAAAAAATTAATGCCTAATGTTTATACGTTAATTTACAATTAGTTTTAGTTGATCATTTTTATTGTTTAGTCGCATTTCATTCGTTTTTATTGCATTTTACGCGTCGGTTTGGTATTTCTATTGTTTTTAGGTTCAGGTAAACAATAAAGGAGAATCAGAGGAGAAATTGGGAAAAACAGCAAGAATTCGGAAGAGTTTTGAAGTGGACCAGGAGCTTGGCACGGCCGCCCGTGTCGCCTGACACGGCCCGTGTCAAGAAGTGCTCATAAATGCAAAAAGTGGTGGAAGCCAAGGAGCTGACACGGCCGCCCGTGTCAGCACACCTGGGACATAGAAAACTCTCGTGCAAATGTAACAGGGAGCCAACACGGCCCGTGTTGGCTAAAACGCTTCATCTTCTAT